ACATTGGAAGAAGCAGCTGTGTGTAAGAGAATGTCCATCCAGTCTATACTCTCAAGGAACGCCTTGGCACTGGCTAATATGATGATCCGTGAGATCTACGGGTGTAATGTGATCCCATGTCCATCGGGTACACTTCAGCACGACTTGTATTACAATTGCTCAGGTAAGTAGATAGATACCTTGATCATCTATTACAATATGGCTGAACGTGTGAAGAAACATTTAAGTAATGTTGAAAGTCCGACAATGAGGACTGGACGGRATTTCAGGTCCGCGCAAGTAGTTCCAGTCCGAGCCWTTAGCCATTTATAATAGCAATAAAATGATATAATAGGAATAATAGCATTTGATTAAGTATCAATATACGTTTTCTCATACCGAATCAAAAGTGTCTTCGCAATTTGTTGCATACTAATGTCTAGAAGATTCTCCGCGCTTCTCGAAGAGAAGAAAATGGAACTGTACGCAGAGTATCGATTGATCGAATTGCCGTCCATGAACCCAATCCTCCCTAAGCCGAATCGTAGAAATATGCAAATTACAGCTAAGTATTGTATACTGCCTTGTCTCTTTGTAGATGTCAACGAGTGTAAGATAAATCCACCAGTTTGCGAAGCGAAACAAGAGTGTCAAAACTATTTTGGAGGATACGAATGTGATTGCACAGAACCCGGGTACTGCTTAGCAGGGAAAGTTTGTGACAGTGAGTACACTTCCATTCCTTCGCTCAATATCTACTACAGGGGCGGTACAGTGTTTTTTCGGTGGAATGATTTAACAATGTTATATGTCTTTTRTGAGTGGGTGAATAAGCAGCGCATGTACTGTCGTCATTGTTACCACTATTCGATACTATTTTCTCTGCTAATCCATTATTTTTGTTCATTTTTAGAGTGTCTACGCTATTCTTTGATAATTGTCTTTGACGCACAGTTTACCACTGGKTTGAACAATCCACTATCGTTTGAATTTTTCGTTTTTATTGATAAAGTCAAGAARCTCGTAAGTAAATTCCACGCATGTCAAAGTAACAATGATTTCAAGTCGAGGCTCCTGAGGTACATACTTTATTATAACAACTCCAGCCTCGACCTCAAACTATTGCTATGAGATTGCGCAGCCGTTTCGAGGTCTCTGTACTACCTCCACAGGGATCCCGACACCAGACTTTTACAATCACTGATATTTTTGATCACTGAACAATCATGTTTTGACATTACTGGATTGTTATGAGATGGTTATGACTGCGTGGATGATGACGGTGGGTAATATGTCATTTTAATGTGATGAATTCTCTTTATTCAAAAGGTTACTTCAACACTTRTCGCAATACCAGAATTCAGAGAATGCAGAGTGGAAAAGTTAAGGTACAAACAAAACCATTAACAGACTTGTTGTTGATTAGAGGTGCACYCKGRATTYAKTTAGCCTCCTTAGCAACGAGAACTTTCATTATTCTTGCACGGACAAAATAGAATTTGATTATCTATTGCATAAATTGATTTGTCTGAATTCTGGATTTCAGTGAAAYCATTGCCGATCAATGAAAATTTAACAAACCAATTTCTAACTTAYAGTAAAGGCAGTGTTCGTGCTGAGCTGTCAATATACACAAGTACAGGATACAAGGGAAATGCCGCAGATCTTGAGAAGCATTTCAGAGACAAGCTTAACAGCACAAAGGGCCAAAAGTATTTAGGAGATCTGAAGGTCATGTCCGAAACATTAACAGGTACAATTGTTCAATAGAGGTTTTTAAAAAAATTTTCAGTATAGAATGTTAGGGAGTGGGCTGTCGAAAAGAAAATTTGTTGTAGATGAAAGCTGCTTTTAGTTGGTTTTCAGATATTTTCAGAATGTTACAGGGTGAYTTATAATATCATGATAAGTATAATGAACATCTGTTGTCTACAGATTACAATGAGTGTTCAAAAAATCAAGTAAATTGCGATCAACATGCTACATGTGTGAACAATGAAGGGACCTTTTCTTGTAAATGCAACAGCGGCTATGAAGGCAATGGTGTGGAATGTGAAGGTATATAATGTACGATTCCTGTGTTGTTGTTTCGTAAATTATGCATGATAAATATTTGTGTATTAATATTTTGTTATATTGTTTAATAGCTGGATTCCTCAAGACGTACTGGTGGCTTGTTGTAGTGTTGGCCGTTGTYCTACTTATTATCATAATCGTAATCATAGTTCTTGTTGTCAAAAAGCCACAGCTTAAAAGGTAAGATTAAGCTGAACTTGTTCTTAATAAACACATATCTAATGCTATTGTTACCTTATTTCAAAGATTTCAGACCTTTAAATACGTTTAAAACCTCCAGATATTGTAGTGATCGCGAGTGTCGGAAGTGTCGGCCATGTTGGAGCTCTCTTAGAAACCTGGCCTGCTTTATACCACAGGGATCCCACTAGAATGTTTTAGTATACGGACTTCGGTTGATAACGTTTTTAATACATTTATTCTGTAGCTTCCGTGTGGACGATAAAGAACCTAAGTCTACAATGAAACGATCAGATAGCAATCTTTCCTACAAGAGTGGTGACGTCTACTACAAGGACAAATATGGYAACGTCAGAAGAGGAAGCCAGCATGCCCAAGACYCTGCGGAACCTCGAAATCCCATTTACGGCAAGGAAATCCCAGAAAATGTGTACGATAACAACGATTCACGCTGGACGAACAATATTTACGCCTTAGATAACCTTGGTGCAGAGAAACCAAGAGACGAGGAATCGATCGAGATCGAGATGACGTCAACATTTGACGAAGAAACTCCGAAACAGAATGGAATGACTATGGATGATAAAATGTAAGGCTATGGACACTTCCATCAACTTAGCCTAAAACTAAGCCTACTCTCATTGCGCGTTGAAAATTATCGAGAACGTTTGCACCTAATGAAGCAACCATTACCATTTAATTACTAATTTAGTAATGTGCTCCAGCAATGGATTAATTGCGTGTATTTTACGTTCAACAGACTTTAGATATCACTCAAGTTGGTTTGGAGAAGYCATCCACTTCATCATTCTAAAGACAATACAAGTTGCACATATACACCTATTTTCTACTTCAAGAAGATTTCTTGTCCGCGTTTGGATATAAGTAATCGAAAATTTTCTAAAAACTACTGCTACTAAGATTAGAAAGGATTGGTATTAAATGAAGCTTGGCTGCTATTCGTAAGATCTTATAAAAAATACATAGAAAATGAGATGAAAAAAGGAATAGAATTAAGATGTCATAAGTAGTTTTAAACACAGTTTATATTCTAACTTTGTATAATTACTGAGATAATGCCACGTGCAATTAAAACCTTATTAAAGCACAGAAATAAGCAGTCGTGAGACTTGTACATTGAGYTTGCGCGCGCGAACTGTCCTCTTTCACAATCTATGCTTGAAAAATCTTTTTAAACCGTTAAACAACAATGAAAACATATGTTCTACCGTTTTTATTGTCCTCTAATAGTTAGTTTACAATTTGATATTAATATACAATATACCGTTACTCTAATAACAGAATAATAATTACATTCTTATTACTGAAATCTTCCACAACCTTAAAATATCTTTTAAATTTGGTTAAAAAAATGCAGCTGTTGATCCACGAATCTATTCAAAGTAATCATCCTAYGCAACCAAGGTGTATTTTTCTTGTGTTGCCAGTTMCCCACTCCCATAAAAACATACTTAAAAAAATATGAAATWCTTATGTTTTCTGGGAGAGAGGAACGAGAAACTCCTGGGTTCCCGACAATGCAAAGTTAAGCAAACATGTTTGATCGCGTTCTTTTATGTATGAAAAATCAATCCCGAAACTTTGTATAATTTTTCTTCAAGAGTAAGATGTTTTTTTGTTGTTTGATAATATCATAAGTCTTGTCAACATGACGCCTGAAATTTTTGCACCCGAATGTTTTCTTCTTTTTTTATGAAGGTTCGAGTATACGGACATTTTCCAACGCGCATCCAAAGCAAAGCACATGAAAATACAAAGTAAAAACCAAAGACATGATTCAGTTGAATATGGCTGCGAACTCGCGTAAAAATTGTACAAAAATGCACAAACCCCTATATTTTCTAAAGTASTACCAAATCTTTAAGATATAACAAATAGAATTATTTTATAAACTTAGGGTTCCCATCTACAATATATCCTATCGATTTGTAAAATTCAAGCACAGCAGATGAAGAGCAGTTGGAAATACATTTGTATAAATTAAAATATGAAATTTTAAATATAACATGATTATTGTTGTACAAGAATATTCTCTTGAGATTTCTAGTTGCTTGACTCATTTCTGTTGAAAGAATAAATAAATGGCGTTAAAACTCTTTAACGATTAAACCTTTCAAGCTTTTACGTCATATACCGCGTACGCAATGCATTGTAGGATATATTTAGGACAAAACATGGCGGACCTTAGAAACTGATTCCACAATGCATTGCAAATCACGCAAGTGACATAGAAGCTTCACATGTTWCTTGACGGAGAAATGCACGGCCGTGTAAATATAAACAACAAATCGATGGTTGGAATACACACACGACTTAAAACGCTCAAGAGCAAAGCACTCTATAGAGAAACTTAATTCTCTTATTAATAAACTATTAAAGCATTCAGTGAAAGGTTTTCACATTAKATTTTTGATAGAAGTCAAGCAAAACGAAACAAGAACATGTCCAGTTGTACAGCTACCTGGATGTGCTGCTTTCATGTCGTATTTTATCTATGTGGCGACAAAAATCCACCCTAAAATACACAGAAAAATAAAAAAAATAAAGCCAATGCTAACGAATCGTGAATTTGATTTAATTTTGTTTGAAAATATTGTTAACCGGTCCACCAAAAGTCCATCAAATTTTACATTTTATTACAGATTATTTTATGGTGATGAAGTTGTCTTTCAGTAGCATCGTGTTGTGCAATATAAAGTTGAAATTAGGCCATACGCTACTGCTGTGATGAGTTTACTTTCAAGCTTTCGTCGGTCTCCTGATGATGTCGGCGAACTTTATATTGCAGATTATTTAATATTTTTATTTTCTCTATTTTTAAAGTTTATTCTGCATTATTGTTCACTGTTAATAACAAGTCTGGCAGTTGACTTATGTGATAATTCAAAATTGTTTATTGTTTTGATAATTTTACCGATAATTATTCTTTTACAATTTTTTTGATGAGTTCAACTACAAGATTTCAACAGTTTAAGGATGAGTTATAGATCGAGCTTCAGTGAATTCGCACATACAAGAAAATATCAATGTCATTTTCAACATTACTGTATCGATAGTGTCGTGATTCTCGGAACGTCAAGCTTGTCAGAGAATTCATTTAATGGTTTTAATATCATTTCTATTGAYGTTAGAGGAAGAAGTTATTATCGAGTATTTATTTACAAGGACGCAATGCAGTGGACATTTAACCATAAGTATACAACAAGCCCAATATACGCTTAAAAAATTTCATTTAAAAACATACAGTTAAATTGATTATAGCAAGAATGTCCCACAAGCCTCGACATGAGGCAAGTGTTTGGAATACTGCTTTTGATACAAGGTATGTCGACATCATTTCTAACCAACCTGAGCTGCGGCATATTCGTCTTCTTTTTGCATAATTTGTTTGACTTGCTTTGGGGAAAACTGGACGATGGCAGTTAGAACTTTAGCTAATTGCTGTGGGATTAAAATAGACGATTATAATGAATACATACACAGCTCGCAAGTTAAAGCAAAAACATGGATTAAGGAGGGGGGGGGTTATGTGGCAGGGGGAGGCAGACTGCAATTACCTTTCTTTGTCGTCCCATCATGTACTCAAATAAAATATTTTTAAGATACTGCAGAAACAAATGTAATAAAAAGCAATTAATAAAGAATCTAATTTTCATCTGCAACTTAATTTTCATTACATTTTTTTATACTTGTAATCACCGCCATTGAAATTATTGACTCACCTCAAATTGTACAGGTTCTTCTACAGGAGAGTTTGGAGCAGCTAATGGAGAAAGTGGATTTGAAACGAGATTTAGCTGCGCCGGTCTGTCGTTGATACCTTTAACAGGCGATCCTCCRAGCCCTTCAATCTGAAGACAACTATCATTAGTTACAACATAAACGTGCAATATTCCAATCAATGTTTTACAAACCTGCTGTTTAAGGGACAATTCACGTTCTTTGAAAGCACTTATATCGGAYTTTAATCTTAAAATCTGGTCCTAAAAAAAGATAAAAACTTGTAATATCACCACTATCATATCACAGATAAGTAGTATATCATCTTTTTTTTGTTTGGTTATGTAATTGTTATCATCATCGTTGTCATCATCATTATATTTGTCATAACAGTTCACATCAACACATCCATCTCTTCTTACCCGTAATAAAGCCTGAGCAGCGTCTCCATCACCTTCCTAAAGAAACAAAAACATTGAGCATTAATTCACAGTCAATACATAACATCCTGGAAACCTGAGRAACAGAGCTGGCCGGTGAGATGAGAAATTCAAGGAAAGAAAGAAGTGGAAAAAGACTCTTTTTGGGAAGCGTAAAATAGTTCKTAAATTTACAACTAAGACTCCCTAAAATCTACAAAACACAGGYTCACAACAGCTACTTTGTGCTTACGGTAAGAAAGGGACAAAATCCCTAAGGTTCGATGGAGAACTACATGTATGTCACACAGCACTATTTCCACGTATGTTGTTACAATACCGTGTGTATGTGATCAGTGGATGTTGTCAACTTCACTTACGTTAAGCGAAGAAGAGGAGCTAGCACGTTGAAGTTGACCTGGTTCTGTTTCCAACATGACAGCCCCTTGAGCTTGTAATAGTGCGTCCTTCTGGTTAAGGAGYTTTTTCATTTCATTCTGATTTTTCTTCATTTGAGTTTTGAGCTTTTTCTCTACAGCTGCTACTTGAGATTTCTGTCCACTTGATAACGACTGAAACTCAAGTTTATGTCTTTCTTCCATTTCGTCTAGTTTCGTCTTGTTTTCAGTGTTCAGTGTTTCGATGTCATTTTCGTGTTTCTTAATAATTTCTTGTATTTTTTCATGATATTCCAGCTCCATTTCTAGTAGCTTGTCAGCATGCTGTTTCTCTAGGTCTCCTTTCGCTGCCTCCAAGTCCTGCAAACGTTTATCAGTATCATTTTTGTAAGAAATTATTTCGTCCTCTCTCATTTTTAATTCTTTTCTATATTCTCTTATTTCTATTTCATATTTGTCTATGATTTTGCGTTCTTCTCGTTGACTGGTATCAACAGCATTRCTCATGGCATCCTGCAACTCCCGATCTTTTTCCGCATATTTTATATGGAATTCTTTGAGTAATTGTTTGACTTTTGARTTGTGCTCAAATTCCTTGTCCTCTAGTTTCGCTTTGAAGAGTTTTTCTGCGTTTTCTACTTTAGTTTCTATATCTTTTCTAAGTTTCTCAKTTTCCRCAAAGTGTTCTTCCTTTAAGGCATCTTCTTGCTCATGGAGAGCATCCATCTTGTCAACGACAAGAAGTTCATTTTTTTGTTCCAACTCTTTG